TATTATTATTTTTGTGTGCGTGTACCGTCAAATCAGATCTGACTGGTACAGGAGGAGATTGTCCCTCTTTCCCCGGCAGAGCATCTGGTGGATTTGAACCGTTCGCCTCTGCAATTGTAGTTGCAGCTCCTTGCCACTAGGCCACCAGAGTTCCCCTATGTTTTTTGGTTTTTTTTAAATATGTTGCCGTCTCCCAGCTCATATCTTGTTGACTTAGGGTTCAAGGTGGACTTCAGGCAATCTGTGGACCCCTAACATGGAATGCTAAATTAAACGGGTGCGCAAGTCTAGAAAGAGGGCTGGGAGTTTGCATTATGTATTTAGAAATGTCAGTGGGCTTCTGAGAGAGAGAGTGGCTAAAAGTCTGGTGCCAAGGCTTCAGTCCCGCCCTTGTCAAAGCTGTGCAAACTGAGGCCTATCACCTCACTTGTGCTTCAATATTCTCATCTAAAAACTGCAGAAAGAAAAATCTATTTCAAAAGACTGTTGGGAGGAGCTCTGGTGGCTTAGTGGTAAGGAGCTTCACTGCCAGCCCAAAAGCACACAGTTCAAATCCACCAGCTGCTCTGCAGGAGAAAGATGGGCAGTCTCCTCAAAGGTGATTTACTGCCTCTGAAAACCCTCTGATCTGTTTAAACTCAATAATACACAACAGCAACAGAGCAGGAAGTGAATTAATGTTGATAAAATGCCTAGGAGAAAGCTTGGCTCATGGCACATACTTTGTTAACCTTTGGCCCTCTGGGATGTCCAGGCCTTCTCAGCAATATGCCTTCCAAAGGAAGTACTGTCATCTCCCTTGCTCATACCTCTGTTAATCTGTCCCCAGGAAGATATGAATAAATGTGGTAATAACGTTGGGTCAAATAGAGAGAAATAAGACCTGAGTTGAGTGTCATGATTACAGATAGTGCTCAGGAGAGCAGGCAGGGGCTTGTTAATATATGCAGAGGCCGCGGGTAGGGTGGCGGGCTTCATGTGAATGGTGGGAACAGTGCTGGCCCTAACGAGGCTTTCTTTCTCACAGCAGGTGCCTCAGGATCTCCCAATGGGGTGGTTTTGCGGTGGGCTCATGGTCTCCGTGGGCTACCTGGTCCTGATGTGTGTGGCAGGTTCTGGTAAGTCACCACCTCTTGGCCATTCATTCATCAGATGTTTATTGCCGGCCCTCTCTGGGCCAGGCACTTAGGATAAATCGTTGGACAAAATGAAGATAGAGCTAACCGTGCAGTGTGAGGCGACAGATAGTGACAGATGGCCTTAATTATAAGTATGTTCTAAGGACCACTTCATCATTTAATAATGAGTAAATTCTAAGGAGCAGCTCTAGGGAACTCTGGTGGCCTAGTAGGAAGAAGCAGTGCTGTAATCCTAAAGGCACTTTGTTCGAATCCACTGGCTAGCTGCTCCCTGAGAAAAGGACAGGCAGTCTCCTCGTGTGTGATTTACTGCCTCTAATAACCCTCTGGAGAGTCGATTATGAATTGGCTTTGGCTCAATAGCACAAACATCCAACAACAAAGACCTTTAGAAGGTGATCAATACTTGTTATGTTGGGTGTGGAGTCGCATGGCCTCACTGTACAGGACAGGAGGGTTGCTGGAGGCCTCAAGTGGTATAAGCGATTACATGTTCTGCTATTAACAGAAAGGTTGGAGGTTCAGGTCTACCCAGGGGCACCTCGGAAGAAAGACGTGGCAGTCTACTTCTGAAAACCCAGCGGAGCACAGTTCTGGTCACACACAGGACCACCTTACGCTGGCGTGAACTTCATGGCGGCTGAGAGGAGTAGGAATGTAGAGTGGGCTGAAGGCATTTTGGTTTCAAACAGGATAGTCAGGAATGGCCTACTTGAGGTGACGTTTGGGCAGAGTTGAGTTGGAGGGAGGAGGCCACGCAGATCCGGAGGAGGCGAGATGTCCCGGGTTATGGCCTCTTCCTCCCGGGGCGGAGAATTCTAGGAAGAGGGTGTCCACCAAGGGCTCACCGGGGTGATGCAGCCAGGGCAGGGTCACCGGTGTCAGGGAGTGGGGTGAGTACAATGCAGAAGATGAGGCGTGAGTAATGGGGTGGTCCAGCCCGGTAGGACTTGACAGAGTTTGAGCACAGGGGCTGTATGGTGTCCAGAAGGAATCAGATAGGACCCCTCCGCTGTGATGCGGAGAGCAGGACAGGGTAGAAGTGGGGAGGAGGCATCCTGGTGAGCCCGGGAGGGGACATTGCGTCTGGACCATGAAGGAGGTGAGAGGGGGGGCTTAGCTCTGGATCATTGGGATTGAAGACGTGGACGCCACTTGGAATTGGGGTGAGAGAGGTTTCAAAGGCGACCCCAAGATTTCGGATAAAACACAAATGCTGAAGGCTGTGGGCAGACCAGATATTTTGAGGAAAATCAGGAGTTTGTTTTGTATCTGATTGATAGAAGTTCGGGTCATTTGTTAGACATTGAAGACCTCACCTTACCACAGTGAGCCGTTTAGCCCTAAACCAATACAGATTAACTTCAACTGAGATGGGTGAGAAGGAGCTCTGGTGGTCCAGAGGTTGGTGGTTCAAACCCACTGCCTGAGCCCTGGAAGAAAGTCGTGGCTGTCTGTTTCTGTAAAGGTGATTCCAGACTTGAAAACCCCGTGTCCCATTCTGCTCCATCCTTCGAGGTCTTTGTAACTTGGAACAGATGCGATGGCAGTGGTTCTGGCTTCTGTGATGAGTGTGTCCTCCAGGGAACAGGAAGCTCCCACTGGACCAGGGCCAGGGTCACATCTTTTGACTCCACATAAACTCAGTAGATAGATGACTGGTTTGAGTCCTTCCTCTGCCCCCGACTAGCTTGGAAGGAGCAGAAGGAAGAAATACTCTTCCTATCTTTCCATCTCCTCCTCTCATTGGCCAAATCTGATTGGAAGCCAGAGGACAGAGCAGTGGAGATCCTGGGTCAGCCTCCTAGGCTCAGAGAGGGCAGGGAGAACTCATGGCAGGGGCACAACGGGACACTAACCAGCTGGCTTGGGCACTGACATCGGTAACAGCATCCCCTTCTCCCACTGCTCCAGGACAGGTGTTACTGTTAGTGCCGTCCGGTCAACTCCAACCCCTAGCCACCCTCTGAAAAACAGATGGGAACTTGCCCCATCCTGTGCCACAACACAGACGCCCTTGTTCTAGCCCAGTGTTGCACTCATTGTGCCAAAGGGCTTGTTGTTGCTGTTGTCATCATTGTTGTGTGGCATCGAGTCAGGACCAACCCATAGCTGACCCTCCAGCGGATTTTCAGAGACAGTAAATCGCAGGAGAGGGGACTGCCCACCCTTCTCCCATGGAGCTCCTGGTCGATTTGAACTGCATGCCTTTAGTTTGGCAGCACAGCTTCTTAACACTGAACTGCTAGAATGTCAGAGTACTAGCTTTTTCTGAACAGTGATGTGTTTTTTATGTTTTCTTCCCCCTTTAATTTGGACCAGGACAAGTAGCTGCATTTGTATTTGGGTTGATTTTCCTCCAGTGGTTTCTGCTCTGCAGGGGTATCTCCAGCTTTGGGATCCCCCTCAGTGCTAAGTGGCCCCCACACACAGATGCCCTGGTCCTTGCCCCAGCTCTGTGGAAATTTGCAGGCAGCTTTGCCGGAGCCTGTGGTTTTGTCCTTTTCATTGTCCCCTTGGTCCAGTTTGGGCTGGTTTCTGGCTTCCCTGGGTGGCATGTCCCCCAGCAGATGGTTTGCAGCTCATCATAGCCTTATGTCTCTCCAGGCAGCATTGAGGTCCTCCTGCACGAGCCCACCTGCCTTTCTGACTATATCAAGACTTCCACATGTGAATGGAGCATGACTGGCCCCACCAATTGCAGCACTGGCCTTCTCATGTCCTACCTGGATAACATCTACCCCTTTCAGTGAGCTCTGCTGGAGATGGGGGCTTGGGTGGCTGTCCACTTAGGCCCTGGAAGGTGGTTAGCTGTAGCTTATGGGATCGCAGTTCAGATGCAGGATGTCAGCAGGATGTGTAGTAAGACCCCAAACCAAAGGACATGGACACGAGTAGAATATTGAGCAATTCTCAACAAGTTTCACCTCAGAACCTTACTTTACACCAAAAAATTGGTGAGGAACCCCAAAACCTTTCATTTCATTGAATCATAGCTATTGATGTTTACCTTACTAGTAAATAAAGCTGAGACACTTTTAATCACAAGGACACATAAACCCAGATCCATGACATCAGAGCAATGACATTATTCCACATCATGAAGCTTCCAGAAAAGTCCATTGTACAGCTGTGTAAGAGAGAGTGAGAAAAGGAAATAGTGTCATAGTAGTAGTATGAGAAAAATCTGGCATGGTGGCCTCCAGACCCCATGGAGAACCTATTGAGCTAGACCTGGTTCATGGATACAGTGCCAGAGGTCAAGTTCAAGTGACAGTGGGTGGATCGAGAAACATGGGTGTGTTGTTTCAGGTGTCTCCTTGGAATTTTCCCTGATACACAGGGTGCTCTGCTGGCTGTAACGTAATTGGGTACACAAGGCCTGGTTATAGGACACACACACAGACAGAAGACACTAATAGAGGTGTTCTTCCAGGATAGAACAGAGTAGATAAACTGTATCATTGTGGATGCTACGTAAGTCTAGACCAAGGAACAGCACACCATGATCTGAGGATCAAATTTGGCCCATGAGACATTTTTGTAAATAAAGCTTCATTGAAACATGTCCATGCTCATTTGCTTCCATATTGTCTGTGGCTGTTTCGTGCTGCAGTGGAGAATTATATAGTTGTGATAGAAACTCTGTCCTGCAAAGCCTAAAGAAGTGAGGTTGGCTGTCATAGGTGGTCCAGTTCCTGAAGGTGATTCACAGGTGCCCAGGGTAGGTATTTATGCTACAGGTGCCCTGGGACACACATATAGGTTAGGATAAATAGTTCCAACAGAGAACCAGCTTTCAGGGACGAGCCCAATCCTGGGACCAGCACCCTCAGCAAAGGCTATAGGAGTATCCATAAGTGAGTGTGGTCAGGCCTGTGGTCAGCACGGGAGATGGTCCACCAAACCCTGACCACTCCCAGTCTCCAGGATGGTCAGGAAGCTGGGGAGAGTATGTGCATCCTTGAGGTATGTATGTCCAGGGAACACCCACGGGTCCTAGCTAGCCTAACCCAGACTCTTGTGTGTGCAGAATCAGAACATGTATCCCTGAGAACAAGAACAGGTCGGAGTGCGTGTGCACCATGCTGATGGATGAGGGCATTGTCTCTATGAGCAACTATACCCTGAGGCTCTGGGCTGGGCAGCAGCTGCTGTGGGAAGACATCTTCATACCCTTCCAGCATGGTGAGTAGGGGCCAGGGCTGTAGGCGTCTCCACAGCAGGCTGGGCTCTGGGACAAGGCAGGTGGTTACCAGGTGGGGGAGATTTGCAAGCAACAAGGACTACACTTTCTCTGATGGGATGCACTTCCTTCTCTGGGGCTCAGTCCTCCCATCTGCCAAATGGGATTGGCTTCCTTCATCCCAAATACTCACCCACCCTGCTCCCCAATCATAAGTGTCCAGGAAGGGGAATCAAGGTGAGACTTGTTTGATTGAAGGCACACTTGCTACAGATCAAACAATGAGAAGAGTCTTCCTCTCCCCTGTTGGCTGCTGCATCTTCAGATGGTCTGAGCTCTGGCAGTCTTACTTATCCTGTACTTTTGAAGCCCACTGGAGTTCCCCAGGGGCTTATGGGGTGTAGTGACAAGAGTTTAAAAATATCATTCATTTCTGTATGGCCATGGACAATTCACTTTACCTTCCCGAGCCACAAATTCCTCTTTTACACTTGAATAAACTGTAGTTCAGAGAAGGCATGTAACCTGCCTGGAGTCACACAGCTGTGAGGCAGCATTCAGAACCAGTTCTCTCTGTAGACTCTTCACTCTTCACCTCAGTCAGCGTCAGGTGTGCAGGGGTGGTACAGGCCTGCAGAAGGTTGAAAGATTGTTTAAAGCAACCCATGAGTGCACTTTGAAATAACTTAAGACTTTGATGCATGTCAGATACTTGTGGCCTCATGGGTATAATTGCTTAAAACAGAAACTCAGTGTTTTTTTAAAAGTGAATCAATCCAAGTAGGAAACCTTCGTAAAGAAGAGTCTGTTCTTAGAGGAGGTACAACTGGGTTGCTTCTCGGAAGCAAAGTTGGGGAAGCTCCATTTCACATACATTGGGCATGATGTCCAGAGGGGCCAGTCCTTGGAAAAAAAGGCATCCTGCTGGGAAAGGCGGAGGGTCAGAGAAAGAGAGGAAGACCCCACGTGATGGATTGATCGAGAGGACTGAGCATATCAGAGATGGGCAGGACGGGACAGGATGAGGAAGGCTCAGATCTGTTGTTCCTGGAGTCACCATGAGTTATAGATAACTCTATGACACTTAAGAACAACAGCAATGACTTGGATGTGGCCAAAGATGTGAGAGATGAGAGTGAGAAGACTACCCCTGAGTGCCTTTGGCTTGTACTTTTGTTATTCACTGCAGTAAGGTGGTTTATGATAAACTCGAAGGTCCAATTATAACAACACTGTAATCTGTATTCTCACTGTGACTGTCTACATTGGCTCTAAGCGTGTGAGTGTCCCATGGACATATTAACTGGAGAGACTCGACAAAAATTCTGAATGGCCCGTGTTTCTGAAAATTTGGCCAGGTGCCTACAGGGATTGTGCCCCTCCCATTTTCTTCCTAAGCCTCTCACACAACTAATGTTTCTTCTGCAGTCAAAACCAAGACCCCCCAAAACCTTGTTGTCCATAAGAATGGCTCTGACATGTGGCTGCTGAAATGGGACAATCCGTACACGCCTGCGGATCAGCTGTACTCCGAAGTCTCCTACCTGGTCAACATTTCAAACGAATACGACCCGTCAGATGTGAGTGGGGACGTCTCAGGGCTTGGGGGCGCGTTTGTTCTGACCTCTTAGGAGTCTCCAAGGCAGTTGGAAAGTGCAGCTCTCAAACAAGAGCTGAAGGCAGGAGACAGGCTCCCGGGGCTTTATGGGACACATCAGGGCCACCGTGGTGCTGTGGCCACCAGACAGCTGGCTTTGCTTTGTGTCCTGAATCAAGCCCTCTATCCCTTTCTGGATGCCCATTCCTAGTGTGGGACAAAGGAAGTTCATTTCTGCTTAGAGCCCTTCATCTTTAAAGGAAGGGCTTTGCACCTTGTGTGTTTGTCAGCGTGTGGACGCTTTCAGGATCACACCCTTCAGTAACTTAGCCACAGAGCAAGACAGCCTTCCACGCCACTTCTCCCTCCATCCCGAGTGGTCAAGGAGGAAGTCTCAGTTGAACTAACAGGTTCACAAAATCCGCGTTTGTCACATAGAGAGAGGAAGCCTCTGGCACAGAACCTTTCTGATGAAACAGTTCCAGCCATAATTTAGGGACACTGCTTAGTTTCCATTGTTTTTATTCTATGTAATATTTGCTCCCCTGTTACTTGTTTCCCAGTCTCGGAAATGGTAGTATGGTTCCTCCTCAAATAAATGTGCTCAAGTATTTTTTTCTTTTAATATATGAAAGAGGAAATTGATGTATATGGCACTATTGCTAGGGAGCTGCACTGCCAACCCATGGGCACACGGTTCGAATCTTACCCCTCCTCCAAAGGAGCAAGATAAACATTCTCGTCCCGTGCAATTTACAGCCTCCGACAACCAGCTGAAGGGCCAGTTATGATGGTGGTACTGACTCAAGGACACATAAAAAGAATGGCATAAAGTTGCTCAAAAGTCTTGGTAGCGTTGCGCTTGACAAATCAGGCTCCTGACGAAAGGTTGGCAGTTCAAATCCACCCGCTGCTCTGAGAGAAAAAGATGGGCAGTTTCCTCCCATGTGATTTACAGCCTCAAAAACCTGATGGAGGGTCAAGAGGCGTCAGGCTCAACTTGACTACAGCTGCTTTTGGTAGAGGGCCTCAGGGGGTTATAAAGTAAATAATAGCAGTGAAATTAGTGACTGAGACTGCCATGCTCATGGTGAGGGTTGGCATTTCTCAGATGCCCTCTTTGCACCTGCACGACTGATTGCTGTGCAAACCTTGCCTACAGGGAGGGCATTTGTTCCTCATTTTATTTTATTATGGTTGGGGTTTTTTTGTTCCTCATTTTAAAGATGAGGACACGGAAATGCCACAGCAGGATTGAGCCAGGTGTGTGGCTGCAGAACCCTACTGTTCCCCTCCCCAGGTACTCCTCTCGGAGGTGAAACCAAACACAACCTCAAGTGGAGGTGAAACCAAACACAACCTCAAGTGGTTCCGGGAAGCTCCGATTTCTCTTGTTCCTTAATAAAACATTTCCCCGTCCCTGCTGCTTTCCAGTGTGGACAGTTCCTTTGGTGAAAGAACTCCAACTGTTGTTTTTGCCTGCTTGTATTTAGAGACGAAAGGGGAAGGGGTATCCCCCACTCCAGCCTCAGCAGCTGTGTAATCAAAATACTCCCAGCCCCACCCCATCTTCTCAGCATCCTGTTGGGGTGTTGCTGCTTGGTCCTGAAAAGCTCTCCCCAGGTCACTTTGCACTATTTGCACTTGATCATTTCCCCAAAATCCCTTCCCGGACCCAAGCAGGAAGCTGGGGTGGGGCTGCAGGCTTGCTGGGGAGAGAGCCAATAGTGGACCCCCCGCGAGAGGAGGTCCCGTCCTCAGGATGGATACAGAGCCCAGCGCTTATTTAATCTTTCACTCTTTAAAAAAAAATTGTGATGCTAGTGAAAGTTTACAGAAAGGTCATCTTTTCATTCGTACCTTGATACACATATTCCTCCCCCCGTTCACTCTGTAATGCACATCTTGTTCCAGATTGTCAGTTGTCATTCATAGAATACCTCATCCTCCATCCCTCTCACGTAGTCCTTGCCCTCACCTGTTCCACTGCAGTGTTCATGATCTGTCCACTCTTAAAGTTGTGGGGTTTTTTTAAAGATAGTGCTTACATGAAGTGAGCACTAAAATGGCACAGAAAGATGCAGAGTGAAATGCAGTCACCCTTGCAGCCCCATTCCTGGGGGCTGCCATCCAGCCCCTGCCTGGAAGGAAAGCTGGCAGGTGGACCAGCCAGAGGCCATGGGGCACACAGGCCTTCCTGGGCATTCCATGCTGTGGGTTAGCACTCTGTAGCTGTGTGATATTATCCAGCGGCAAGAAGCCGCACTGCAATCCCGAAGGCATCCTTCTCCAAGGAGAAGGATGGGCAATCTTCTCCCATGCGATTAATAGCCCCTGAAAACCCGCTGGAGGGTCAGCTATGGGTCATTTCCGACTCTGTGGTATACAACAACAATTATTATGTGACAGTATCTGTGATCCGGGTCCCACACACTGTGTCGGCTAGGACTACTCTCCTGTCTGAAGCTCTTGTTGGGAAAGTCTTGTTACTGGGGGCCAGCTGGACAGAAGGCCACGGTTTCTTTCTGACCATTGACAGTTAGTCGAGTACCATGTGACTCTCTCAAGGTCTGCAGAGAACATGGCATAGTCGGATGCGATGTGATCACACTGCAATCCAAGTGTCCAGCATCTTCACCACATTTGGCAGACTAGAGACCAGTCACAGGTTCCATCTGCAGCGGGGGTGGTGTGAAGGGGTGGGTCACACCACTTATAAAATGAGACACCGATCAGAGATTCCAGTTGCAGTCACTGCATCTTATTCTTCTTTTTCTTCCTCCTAGACAGAAAAAGTAGGAAACAGTACATCCTCCCTGACTTGTATATGCCCTTCTATTTGACACTAGGTCTTGGCAGTTCTCCTATCTCAGGTGAGGCTTTGGGCAGAGTGCCTCTGATTGCCGGTCGACCTTTGGTATGGAGAGCTCCTGAGTATTGATTTTTCTGTCTGTACTCCATAAAGATCCTTCTCCTTTATTTTCTCCTTTAAAAAAAATTGTGACTTTAACAAAAGTTTACAGAAAACTTGGATTTTCATTCATTCATTGTTGCATACTTTCCTCCCTCCCCCCTGCCTAACCCACATTGCTCTGCACCCCTTATTCCGGACTGTTGTTGTGCAAATAATGCCTAATCATATATTCCTTTTTAACAGTTCTTTCCTTCCTCTGTTCCAGTGCAGTGTTCATTATTTATCCCCTCTTTTCTTAGTTTTCCCCCACCCCCCATGTCAGTCCTGTTTTATAATACTGGCATTATGCAGTATTTGTCCTTTTGTGACTGAGATATTTCATTCAGCATAATGTCCTCCAGGGTCACTCATGTTGTAGAATATTTGATGAGTTCTTTGTTTTTCAGTGCTGCATAATATTCCATTGTGTGACTCTACTGAAGTTTTTCTGTTTATTCATTTGTTGATGGGCACTTGGGTTGCTTCCGTCTCTTTGCTTTTTGTGAATAATGCTGCAATAGACATGGGTGTGCAAGAAAGATCCTGCAAAAAAAAAAAATTTGAAATCCAAAGTCTCTGTAAAATTTCATTTAAAAAATTTTTAGAAAAGAAAGATCCTGCTGAAGCTTCCTGAGCCACCCCCTGCTCTGAATGTTTCCCTACAGAAACCTGTTTAATGGATCAGTGAGAGGAGGCCACTCTAATATTCCCATCTTGCAGAAGAGAACGTTAAAACCCGAAAAGGTGGTGGCACTTACCTAAGGTCACATAGTTAGAAAAAAGGACACTTCATATCCTCATTTTACAGGTGGTGTTGTTATGAACCATCAAGTCATAGCTGACCCTCCAGCAGGTGTTCAGAGGGAGTAAGTTGCGAGAGAGGAGATTGCTCATGTTTTTCTCCTGTGGAGTAGCTGATGAATTCGAACCCAGCACCTTTGGGTTGGCAGCACAACTCCTTACCATAACTTACCAGGGTGATGTCATACAGTTAACCAGTGGAGAGGACTGGCTTGCCTTGACCCCACTCTGGTCACTATAATGGAGATGGCAAGCAAAGACCTGAGTCTTTGGAAACAACCATATAATGCCCAGGGTGGTGGCACTTCAACACCAAGGGTCAAGCAAAGATGGCAGCTGGGATCAGAGCTGATGCCCCCTCCCATAACTGGGGTACTAACATCTGTCTACTTTTCCTCTACTAGTTCAAAGTCTATAATGTGACCTACCTGGAACCCCTCCTTCGACTGTCAGCCCGGGCCCTGAAGTCTGGAGTGTTGTACAAGGCCAGGGTGAAGGCCCACTGTGTGAACTATAACAGCATCTGGAGTGAATGGAGCCACAGCTGCGCGTTGAACAACAGTGAGTAGCAGAACTTCCGAGCCTTGAATCTCAGCCCCCGCATTTAGTTCGTGGTCACATCATCCCCCTGGTGGAACCTTTAGTTTCTACTTCATAGGGATGACTCTTCAGGTGGTAGACTTACTGACTGGCATGGTGTATTACTTAGGGCAGGCAGACTAAGCTGCAGTAACAAATAAGCCCACAATTTCAGTGGCTTAACGTAATCAAGCTGTGTTTGTTATTGAAGTGGCAGTCCAGTGTGAATGTTTCTGGCTTGTGAGTAGCTTTCCTCCTGTGGTACTTGGGGTTGGGATTCTGTTCATCTTTGACACTGCCATCTACTGTTGTTGTTGTTGTCGTTATGTGCTGTCGAGTCACCTGCGACCCTCTGTAAAACAGCCCTAAACTCTGCCCTATCCTGTGCCAAACTCACCATCTCCGACACACGTGCCCCATTACCCTAGTCACTGACTCAATCCGTCTCATCGAGGGTCGTCCTCTCCTGCTCTTTCCCTCCACTCTCCCAAGCATGATGTCCCTCTCCAAGGACTGGTCCTTCCTTGCAACATGTTCACACTCTGTCAGATGAAGCTTCAGAATCCTTGCCTCCAAGGAGAAGCCTGGTTTCACCCTCTCCAGGATGAGCCTGTTTGTTTTCCTATCATCTACTTGGGTAAATAAAGATTTTGAACCTTTTTTGGTATCATGGACTCTTTTGTCGCCTTGAGCCTGTAAATCTTATCTAAAATTTTTTTTCAATTACATAAAGGATTTTGGATTTTTTCCATTTTTTTTATTATACTAGTTTATTTACAAAACTCTAATACGTTGTTTTTCAGAACAGATTCTTCCAGTTTCCCGCATCCCCGCCACCCATCAAGTTGTGCAACCCTATGATTAATCCCTCCTCCCTCTGCACATCCTCTTCACTCTGCTTCCACCTTCCCCCACCTTAGATCTTTATACTCCTTCTACAATAACGGTTTTATGCAGTATTTGTCCTTAGGGGACTGAGTTAGTTCACTCAGCATAATGCTCTCCAGTCCCTCCCAAGTTAGGTAATAATTGACAAAACCATTGCTCCTGCGTGCTGCATAGTATTCTATTGTGGGAATGTACCATAATTTCTCAATCCATTCGTTTGTGATTGGACTTCTGGGCTGTTTCCATGTTCTTGCAATGGTGAATAATGCTGCTATGAAAAAAGTAGTATTTTTAAGAGCATAAAATAATATGCATTATTATAATAATAATATTATAATAAGATTATAAGGAAAATGTTTGTGTGTATCATCAAATCAGAACCAACTCATAGCCGACCCAGGTTGTTGTTGTTATGTGCCATCGAGTCACTTGCGACTCAGCGACCCTATGTACAACAGCCCTAAACTCTGCTCTGTCCTGTGCCAATCGCACTGCCTCTGGCACACCCATCCCGATTACCCCAGTCCCTGAATCAATCCACCTCATAGAGGGCCTTCCCCTCCTGTGCTGTCCCTCCACCCTCCCAAGCATGATGTCCCTCTCCAAGGATCTCTCCCTCCTTACAACATGTCCAAAGTATGTCAGACGGAGCCTCAGAATCCTTGCCTCCAAGGAGCCCCCTGGGTTAACCCTTTCCAGGACAAATCTGTTTGTTTTCCTAGCAGTCCATGGTA